CGGGGTCAGTAGGGGGCCCCATGAGATGCCCCTGGTACCTTTTTCATGGGCTTTTTTTAGTTTGGGCAAGGACACAGGGGCCCCATGATCCCCTATTGCCGAGGGCCCCATGAGTTGTCAGTCCACCCCTGGTACATAGGTGCAATGAACTGTAAAAAAAATATTTGCTTACCTATACACTAGTGGCTTTTGTCACCTTTGAAGTAGTCCCCTTTGTGAAGTGACGCACTTTTCTAGATGACAGAAAAATTCCTGGAATTTGCACGCTTGATGCCCAGAATGTCATCAAATCTGTGTCCTTTTAAGGCATGTTTTAACTTTAGAACAAGGAAAAAGTTGCAGGTTGCTAAGTCAGGGGAATAAGGTGATTGGTAAAGTTTTGGAATAGATGTTTGGGCCAGGAACTCACGAACACTTAACAGCATGCTTCAAAAGATTGGAGGAAATTTGAGGACGACATTCTTTTTAATCTTCTGTTAAAATTCAAGTCACCATCTTTGTTGAAATCTTTCTCATTCTCAAATCCTCCATTAGAATCTGCCGTACTGTTTCCCTGTTAATGTTTAATTCCTCTGCCCTCTTTCACATACTCAAACTTCGATCTGATCGTACGAGGGTTCATGCTCTATTCACATTTGCATCCATCCTTTGCATTTTTGGCTACCCACTTCTTGTGTCATCGTGGACATCTTCCCGCCCCTCCTTAAACTGCCTATGCCATTCAAAATACTTGATTTTTGCATGGAATGTTCCCCATAAGCCTGTTGTAGCAAAGCTAAAGTTTAACTCACACTTTTGCCAAAATTCATTCAAAATTTGATGCTATTCCACTGCTCCGGATTCCTGTCACTCATTTTCCGCCAACAGTGCAATGCACACGTGTGTTATTTCTTCTTTTACTCCATGAAGAGTCAACTGGTCTGCGACCCAGGTGAGTTGTTAGAACACACTCAAGTGCGAATGGCTGTGTGACTCACCACCACAGTGCTACTCTGTGAGCGTTCCAGAAATTAAATTGTCACTCCTTGTACTCCAGTCAATGCAAATTTGCAGAATGTTGACTCATATTTATATAAAATTATATTTCACTTAGTAACTCTAAGTAGAATATAATTCACAAACTAGTGATACTATCACAACCATATGCACATATGATGATATGCTCATAAGCTGGTCCAGTTGTAGTGAACACCACCAACATACCAAACTGTTCTTGGATTGTGGGGGGGGGAAACCACTGCAGATGGAAGAAACCCATAAGAAAAAACAAGAATATACAAACCCCATGTAAATTCATCCCCTCCAGGTCTTCATATTGTGATTATTTTAGTTGCCATAGGCTAACAAGTACATATTTATGAATGAAAATATATAACAGTCTAAGCAGATTCAATAATGAATATGACAAATTACAAATATTCACATACACAAATATGCTTCCTAATCACAATTGCATGCTGACAATTTTTTTTTTCATGAAAACAAACAAATATTTGACCTCCACATAAAAACCACAGCATGAAGTACTGTATATAAGCATGATCCACTTGTATCAGCTGATCCCCCACCCCCTTATTTTTAAAGGGACACTATAGCCCTATTAAATAAAGAAACAGCAGAGACTTTTTGCAGAACCCTATATTTTACCCTGGCTCTGCCCTGGGAGTGATGATGGGCTCATCAATAGAAGTGACTGTCACTGTTAGTATCTACAACAATTTATCATTACTTTAGAACTGCAGTGCTTGAAGTAAGACTCCAGTTGCAACACACCTATGCCTACTACACGCAATGAGAAAATCGGATGAAAAATACTGCTTTCAGAGTGATTGCACGATAATCTGGTCATTAGTATACAGCTTTCGAGAGCCGATCACAAAAGTTTATGCAAAATTATCCAAAGGGACAAGCAGGAAAATCTTTCTCATGCAATACCAGAACAATTTTCATTTAATCAGTGCACAATTTGTCCTTAAAAACTCGAGTGACCAAGACCTGGTATGCTTGGAAACAAAAGAATACATTACAATACAATACATTACATCACTCTGAAGTTGTATTCTGTCGTATGAAAATTTTCGTAACTTTAGTAACCTCTTCATTTTGATTACTATCATGCAAAAAAAAAAAAAAAAAATAGACATTTGTCTGATATTCTCATTGTGTGTACCAGGCTTAAGTGAAACTCAGTCACTCCAACAGATAAAGTGCAATACTCCACATGAAAGAAAAATATATGTGAAATATATTTTAAAAATATTCTTTCCAAATATATTGACATATATTTTAAATACTACAATTTTGGCCGTATTCAATATATTTATTATAATATATATATATATATATATATATATATATATATATATATACTGCATGTTGAAATACATTTTATATATATTACAAAATATATGAAAATTATTTTTTTAAAATATATATTTTTTTAAATATATTCTTCAGATTTTTTTTAACATATAAAAAAGTAATTTTAACACATATTTTACATATATTTGTAAATGCGTTAAAAAATGTAGATAAAATGTATTTTTAAATACATACAGTATATTTGAAAAAATATTTTTCATATATTTTGTTATAAAAATATATATATATATATATATATATATATATATATATATATATATATTTATTGAAATATATTTTGAAATATATTGAATACACCCAAAATTGTAGTATTTTAAATATATGTCAATATATTTGGGAAGGAGATTTTTAAAATATATTTAAAAATTTAAAATATATTTTTCTTTCATGTGGGTACAGCCCTGATTAGATACAGACTCGCCACAGCTTGTTCACTCACAGAGTAATGACAGCTTCGGACAGTGACATCATTATGTCACAAGCAGGTTTTCTAGCTCGTCTGTATTTGAGCACTACTGTATTACATTTTATCTTGAGAGAGAGATTTTAATATTTGAATAAAAGAATCGGAGCAATAGAGTATCTGTCATTTGTCTTTTGGGGACTTCTAAGTGAGAGTTAATGGTATATCATCGGGAAAGAGTGTTTGGCGGTTTATTGGTCCAGAGTCCTTAATAATCCTGTGTTAATATTGTTCCATACCTAAGTGTTTGCTGACCTGTAGCTTTTGGGGTCTGTCTAGTACCATGATACCCGTATTATATGTTGGAGGTGGAAATCTGCACATCAAGAGAGTTTTCCTCAAAGCATTGCACTATATATGGATTTCGGTTTAAAATTCGCATTGGACCTCTGTTGATCTGGGTCTCTTTTCTGGTGAGCTTCTATTGTTTTTTGAGTAGCATTTGTTTTTGATTAACATAATGAAAGCCTCACTTCAAGCATTGCAGTTCTAAAGGATTTATATTTATGGATTATATAGCATGTTGCTGATATGCAGTATTGTTTACATTAATAACATTTATTAGCTAAGCGCAGATTATAATTTTTTTAAATCTATCGCTTTATTGCTATAGTTACAAGCCAATAATGTGGAAGCACACTGAACTGCGGTAGGTCTTCTACTCCCCATAGTCCTTAAAATACTTTATCCAAGAAAACCAAATCAACTATGTGCATTTGTTTAATACTTAAGGTGTATGTCAAGTCAAAAACTATAAAAATAATATTTTTAGCATTATTAGTTTAAGTTTACCTTTATCTCCAAGTGTCCTGAAAAACTTAGATGATCCCTTCCATACTGGTGGAGTGTCCAGTAGCAAATTATTCAAGTCCTGTAACAAAAATAAATATCACTTGAACCATCACCCTAGAATACAATAACGTATGTTCATAATATGCATTTTACAAAAAAATTGGACATGGTTAAGTGGAAGGCAAGTCAAAACCTAATTAAGCCTAAATCTACTCCCACCCCCATTCTAAGCCTATTCTATCTACCCTGTAAAAGAAAAGATGCCTATACTTACCTATTCTGAAGGTGCTCTGGTCTTTGCAGAGAGGTTGACAGATTTGATAACAGTAAGCAGGGTGGAGGCAGAAACTGAAAGTTCTGCTTGTAGCCCCTTGACACCATACATTTTATCCTTGTGTCCTCCTGTGGGTCAACGTATTGCAAGGGTTAAATAGACCTCCCTCCACTTTAGAAAGTAGGGGCATCTCCTTATTGTGAGCATGACTTGTCTGCAATTTTGGAGGACTTTGAAGCCCAGGATGTTTGACTGAACTAGCTCACAAATTTTGGCCTGGTCTTAGAGGCCTGGGAGAAATTAAATAATTTTTGCCTTTAGAGGTAGAAGAAGTTTTGCTAGTTGGAGACTTATGTTTCTTTATTTGTGGTAAAAATGTACTTTTACTACAGCTGTCAAGATAAGCCCCAAAGAGATGTTCTTCATGAAAGGGTATGCCCAGCTAGGGGCAGACTGACTATTTGGAAACTCGGGCACTGCCCAAGGGCCCGGGGTCAGTAGGGGGCCCCATGAGATGCCCCTGGTACCTTTTTCATAGGCTTTTTTGAGTTTGGGCAAGGACACAGGGGCCCCATGATCCCCTATTGCCCGGGGGCCCCATGAGTTGTCAGTCTGCCCCTGTGCCCAGCAATCTCTTATTACATTGTTTCACAGACCAGTATTTAACCACTTGCCCTCCAAAGGAATTACCCCCCTTCCTGACCAGGACATTTTTTGTGATACGGCACTACGTTACTTTAACTGATAATTGCGCGGTCATGAAACGCTGCACCCAAATGAAATTTTCGTCCTTTTTTCCCACAAATAGAGCTTTCTTTCAGTGGTACTTGATCGCATGTGTGTTTTTTATCTTTTGTGCTATAAACAAAAAAAGACCGACAATTTTGAGAAAAAAACAATAAAAAATTTCCAGTAAAAAAATCAAAAATCATATTTCGTCATAAATTTAGGCCAAAAATGTATTCTGCTACATGTCTTTGCTAAAATAAATCCCAATACGTGTAAATTAATTGGTTTATGTGAAAGTTATAGCGTTTACAAATGGCGATATAGATGCTGGAATTTGTTTTTTTTACTAGTAATGGGTGATCAGTGACTTATAGCAGGACTACGGCGGGCATTCTGACACTGGGGAGAACTGACTTGGGTTCACTGACATCCCCAGTGACACCAATACAGTGATCAGTGCTAATAAAAAGCACTGCACTGTACTAATGGCACTGGACAGGAAGGGGTTAACATCTGGGGTGATCAAAGGGTTAATTGTGTTCTGTGTGCTGTTTCACTATGTTGGCTGTGTGTGTGTTTCACTGTAAGCACGCTGCTTTGTATGGCTCTGCTCTTCAGAGCCATACAAAGCAGTGTGCAGGAGCTGACAAGGGAGAGGTATGTGTTGTTTATACACAGGTCGCTCCTCCGTTGGAGATACTCAGTGATCACCGGGTGTCGGCGAGTAATCACCGCCCGGGACCCGGTGATTGACAGCTGAGGCCGCGGATGGCCCCTACCTCGAACTGCAAAATCATGTATATATACGTGATTTTGTGCACCCGTGCTGCCCTGTAGCAGTATTTCTGCTATAGGGCGGCGTGGAACCGGTTAAAGTGGAACTTCACTTTCTCAATCAACAATCTACTATTTTTAATCCTTTTTGCTGCTAGCATTGGTAAATATGGGTACCATGTGAAAAGGTATATTACATTTACTTGTTTTTAACTTTTTTTTTTTACATTTCTTCAGTTACAGTATTTACTTCCTTGTCTCTTGTCTAGGCAAATGATGTCATACATCCCAGGAGTCTTCAGGAGGGGAAGAGGAGCTTTCTCAGCTAAGCACACCCTTCTGTCTGCATACCTGAGCTAAGCAGATGGATTCCAGGAAATAAATGTTACATGAATCATCTGCCCTTACTCAAGATGACCATGGACAGAAATACTGAGGGGGGGTTTCAAAGTAATTCTCAACAAACTAAAGCATGTAGACATGGGTGGGTGAGTGTGCTTTGAATACTAAAGATGAATTAAATAGCATTTCTGGTTTGTGGTGCTCATATGTAGTGTAGTTCCACTTTAGGCCACAAAGTCCTCCACATAATAATAGACAGGCGACTTCTTCTGAAAATGAGGCAGGCAATGTCCACTAACCTGTCAACACAATAGTGAAATTCAGAAGTCAAACGCTGCAAACGCTCCATAATCAGTAAGGATGGCATCTAGTTCCTTAAATATTTTCTTGGACCATTATCTAAGGCAGCCTTTTTCAACCAGGGTGCCTTAGGCACCCTGAGGTGCCTTCTGGGTTCTTCAGGGATTCCTTGGCAAAATCTCTAAAAATTGCTTGAAATTGCCTAAAAATTGGGTACAAGCCAGAAGGTGGTTCAAGCCGGCTGTTTTGTACACAAGCCAACAGGTTTTCATTGTGCAACATTAAAACTTTGGGCACTGTGCAGGCCAGCCGCCAGGGTCCTAACAACCACTAATGTCATTGGTTGATAAGGACATCAGGCACCTGCACAGCATCCTTGTTTGATTCCACCTGCCCCTTTGTCAGCACTGGAGTCATATTAGCTGTGTGGGGGAGAGAAAATAAAGAAATGCCGGAATACTAGTCAGTACCAGTGTGCAACAGTGTCTTTGAAAGAATAAAATACCTTTAATGTTTGGGGTCCTGCATGTGTAAATGCTGCTGCGATTTGAAAAACTATTAGTTTACATTTTAGAATGGGGTGCCTCAAAACCATTCATAATTTTAAAGGGTGCCTTGACTGGAAAAATGTTGAGAAACAGTAATCTAAGGGTCTGGAAAATTGACATGACAAGGACTTGGAAAGCATTTCTGGGTATTGGTCAACTCCTTAAACACAGCAATGTCCCCAACAGCAACAGTAAGCCCCAGTTCACACCAGTGCGACTTGTCATGCAATTTAACAGTCTCAATTGCGTGACGAGTCACACCCTATTGTCGGCAATGCAACTGCTGAAATCGTTGTGACTGACGGTGTCGGAGTCGCACCACTTTTGAAAGTAGTTCCTATTTTTGTGCTTTCAGCTTCAACCTGCATAGACATCTGTGTGTGACGTCACACAAATGTCGGCCAAATCACACCTGAAGTTTACAAATTTTGACAGCTAGCCGAGAGAGAGAAAATCTGAATATGGGTGTAACATGTAACATGTTATGAAAGGTGAACTTATCCTTTAATGAAAGAATAGTCTTGACAAAAGCATGTCTAAAACAAATGGGTGTGCTTTTCTATGAAAAGGAGATCCATCCTTCTAGGACATTTCTATGGGAAAATATAAATGTTAATACAAATAAAAATAGTATCACGGACAGTATTTAATTGCATTGTATTCGCCAGAAAATCCTTTTCTTGGTGTTTATCAAGGGGCAAAGTCCTATCCCTCTGTGTATATGATCTACTCCTAATACTGCTTTTCTAAAAAGTGAAGCATCTCAGATGTGGGAGAGATTATACTTGGCTGACCAATGGCTTTTTTGTTTGCCAGTGTCCAATTCCTCTTAAAGGCAGCAATATAACAGAATGTTCCCGAATGCTGCTGTTCCTGTGTCCCTTGATGAAAGATTATTGATTTAATTGCCCCAACACATGAGAAGGTGAAGTTGCACCACATGGTGCTTATACATGGCCCCGTTCTTGGGCAGGTAATAATATTTTAGACTCAACTTGCCTATAATCAGTAATAGAAAATTTAGAATGTTTGATGAAGTGTAATTCACATAAAGACTGAAAAGATTGCAATGAACCCTCCCAGTTTTGGAAGGTAATTTCTAAAATACTTTTCTCAATAGGCTTATTCACAGCAATGTCCTAAAGGCAGAAAGCAAACATTTGCCAGACAATATGTCAGTTTTTGTCCACTTCTACAGTATAACTTTTATTATAAAAGTAAAGATTTGTTTTTAAAGGAAGCATCTGCCAAAACTGACATTTTTGTGAGTTTTCTAGCATGTTGAATCAAACATTGGCTCATAATGTTTTTCAGGGAATCCAATAAGAGATCCCTCCAGCAAAACTCTCGATTCCATAAACCTATTCTAGCCCTTACAACACCAATTGTAGGTGTCACATTCTCTCAGTAGCTTCTTTGAAATGCTGACTTAACAAAACAAACAAAAGATCAACACCTTTATTAATCCTTGCAATATTCTAAAGGATGTTCTCAGCATTACTTTCAATGAAATGGTTTTCTGATTAATGAAAGTCTGACATCACCAACCTCTTCTCAAAATACATACCAAACCATTTTCTTCACTCCTCCCAAGACCTTCTATTCTCTAACTTCTCTGTCACCTCTTCCCATGCTCACCTTCAAGTCTCTCCCATCCTCTGGAACTCTATGCTTTTAATTTCTCCATCAGCTCATCCCTAAGATTTATTACCTTTTTTTTCACTTGACCCTTTCTTTTACATTGTAAGCTCTCACGAAATGGGCTCTCTGATCCTTCTTATATTGACATGTTTTGTAACCATGCTGTCTTCCTCTTTTATCAAAGCACTGCACAGACTTTTAATATTATATAAATCCTGTATTATATTATTATTAATAATAATAATAAAAAATAATAATACATAAATATCTCCGCTCATTTTTTAAACAACTGCTCAATATTATAAAAATATCAAGTGTAGGGCTTCCATCTGTTTGGTTTCCAACTAGCTAGTTCAGTTTTTGCACTGTCTGCCCAGTTAAACTAAACCCTACAGCCCTTGTCCAATTTTGTAGAGTCTGTGGCATATACATATACATATGTGTAGCAGATCATTTAGTGGTAGGCAACCATAATCTCAGAGGTCAACAGTTTGAAGTCTCTTCCTCAACATCCTCTGGATATTCCAGTGTGGGGCACATCCACATTCAGCTCCATCCACGATGACTGTCAGCAAGTTTCTGGCTGCAGCTAAGTGGCTTTGTGAGCAGTAGTTATGGTTGTTTCAGGGTTAGGCAGAGAGCCTTATAGCATAGGACATGTGCTCTGCTCCTGGCCTCGCACTTGGCAAGGAGCCCCTGAGGTCAGGGTGGTAATCTTGAGAAAAGGGTGGTAGCATGTAGTATTTAGTAATCAGTCCATGGCAGGTTCATTTTCGTATCTTTTTAGCATATGTAGTTGATTCCAGGACTCCAGAATTGCCTCTAATAATGTTTTTTTATGTTGCAACCTGAAGGCTAATCTGGTATCATGAAACATTTTCTAGAGCTAAAATAAAGTGAACATCTTTGACAGACAACACAGTAAACGCCTGTCTCTGTGAAGTTCTGGTAGAAAAAACAACCTGAAATATATACAGTGCTCGGCATTAATGAGTACATTCCTTTTGAAAAATAAGATTTTAATCACTATCTCAATGAACACAAGAACAATATCCAAATTTTGACAAAACTGAGTTTTATACAACATTTGTTTAGCTTACATGAAAGTAAGGTTAATAATATAACTTAGATTACAAAATCTTCAGTTTTACTCAAATTAGCTGATGTAAAAATGAATACACCCCACAACCAAAACTACTACAACTAGTAATTTGTATGACCTCCATGATTTGTAAGGAAAGCACCAAGTCTTCTAGGCATGGAATGAACAAGTTGGTGGCATATTGCACCATATATCTTTTTCCATTCTTCAAAAGACGACCTCTTTTAGAGCCTGGATGCTGGATGGGAGGGATGCTCAACTTGTCTCTTCAAAATTCCCAATAGGTGTTCAGTTGGGTTCAGATCAGAAGACATACTTGGCCACTGAATCACTTTCACTCTGTTCTTCTTCAGAAATGCAACAGCGGCCTTAGATGTGTGTTTTGGATTATTGTCATGTTGGAAAAGTGCACAACGACCAAGAGCATGCAGTGATGTAGCATCTTCTCTCTCAATATAGAGCAGTATATCTGTGAATTCATGATTCCATCAATGAAATGCAGCTCCCCGATGCCAGCAACACTCAGCTCCACAGAAGGACACTGCCACCACCATGTTTCACTGTAGGCACAATGCATTTTTCTTTGTACTCCCCACCTTTTGCAACGCCATACAGTTTTGAAGCCATTAGTTCCAAAAACATTTATCTTGGTTTCATCACTCCAGAGCACAGAGTCCTAGTAGTCATCTTCTTTTTCAGCATGAGCCCAGGCAAATTCTAGACAGGCTTTTTTGTGCATGGGCTTTAGGAGAGGCTTCCTTCATGGACGACACCCACACATTCCATTTCTCTGCAGTGTACGCCGTATTGTGTCACAGGAAACAATCACCCCAGTTTGGCTTTCTAAAACTGCAGTGCACTTGCATGGTGATTTTCCTCAAACCTTCTCATCAGAAGACGCTCCTGTCGAGGTGATCACTTCCGTGGACGGCCTGGACATTTCTGTGTGTTGGTTGCAGTTCCATCTTGGTTACATTTTTGTATCACTTTTGCTACAGTATTCTCACTGATAAGTAACGCTTTTTGTAGCCTTCACCTTTCTTGTGCAAAGAAATTATTTTCTTTCT